TATAGTAATAATTACCCAAAGCTTAGTGAGGCTTTGGACAAAGTTTAAAATCTGAACGTATGTTTGAAGTAAACGATCTAGTGCTTATAGAGGATGACAACCAACCCTCACTCAAATGGTTGCTTGGACGCATCCTCAGCCTTGATCCAGGATCAGGACAGAGTTGCTAGAGTAGCAACGGTAAAGACTTCTACTGGTACGCCCATGCGTCCATTTGTGAAACTGTGCTCTTTACTGGTTTGTGAAGAGATCTAGAGCTTTCTCGTGAGTGAAGTGTTAAACGAAACACTTTTTTGAATTCTTGTCCGTAGCGTTTTGCATACATATTTATTTTTCTATTTTTCTTAATCTTTTTTGTTTTTGTTGTATTTTATTTTCTTATTTGTATTTATTTGGTTTGGGGAAATATTTGTATAATTTGTCAACATCGACAACCAACATATTCTTCAAGTCTCTAGCTCCATGGATAAACAAATATACAGTCCATCAAATTAAACATATTTTTAACAATATTTGGTTTCTACAAAACTTCTTCAAAATCCATTTATTTTGTTTGTTTAATTCTTACTACATTTCTGAAGCTCTCACGATCAATTGAAAATTCCATAATGCACTGTTAAATAAATAAGTCATCATATAATATTGTCCCCTCTTTATCTGGAAATAAAATATGACAATCTCTTAGCAATGAGCTGAGAAAAAGCCAAATAGGGAAACACTCGACTACTTTATTAGAAAATATGTCCTCCTTTGCACTTTGGCGGTTCTGTTGGTGGATTTTTCTGCAACTTTCGGATCGTGATTCTTATTACTATTCGTAAAATATGGTCTTGCCATTTATTTTATCGAATAAAGTATCACGCTGTGCCCAAGATTTAAATTTTAATCTCGACTTTCCTGTCCCTAGAATATAAAGAATAAGTTTATGCATTTCCAGATTTAAAATATCTGCAGAAATTTGAATTGTTGAAGGGAAGAATCAGGACACTAAAACTGAACTCTAAAAATATGCAGTATCTATAAATTATTCCAAAAGGACTACGCCAACATAAGAAAATACAATTCGTGATATCTAGATAACATACGACATATTACGTAATCTTTTACCTTGAATAACGTACAGAGGCTCTCGATGGTCTATCAGAATATTGAAGAGCGGTATTTGTAAATATACAACAAATTGCAAATATGTACGACATATACGGCTCCTCCGCAAAAAAGTTTAACTTTTATTCCTTTTTTTTCAGTGGTTTTTGAAAATAAATTGCACTAGGTACATTGCCGCCCAATTATATCTTCTATAACACGGCCCTTATAAAATTGATATCCGCAATTTCTTCTTCAGGTCACTTTCATCAATTTAATTTTTTCAAATACGCCTCGGTATTTTTATTTTATTTATTTGTCATATTTGGGCCTCCTTGAGCAAATGATAATGTGTACTTGCCTGAAGCAATTGAAAATTCGGATCTGTAGAAAAGTCATGAATATTCTATAACAACGGAAAGTCAAATTTTAAACTTTTATTGCCATCTTGTAGAGAAGAAAACGTGGAAATGGCAACGTAAAATAGATTTCACGAAATATTTCTCAATAAAGCCATAAATCCACTTTACCTATTTGAAAAGAACCCTGAAAAACAAACTTTATTATGAGCGTGATAAGTCATGGGCTTTAGGAGCTGCAATAGTAACAAAAAACTAAATTCTCAAAAAAATTAAATTGATAATGGTATCTCAAAGCCAAATAGTCGTATTCTCAATTTAATAGTTCTGTATTGTAGACGCAAGAAAGTGCCAATAAGAAAGTGTTTATTTTCAAGTGGGATCTACGCTCATACCCAAAACAACCGAATCAGTACGGTCGCTCACGTTTAAATCACCCGAATAGCCTTTAGCTCTGTTCCAACCGACATGAGAACCGTTCTAGAACGGTAATTTCTAGTTGATCAATTCATTTGTCAAGTAGGATAAACGTTCAACTTATTAAGAAATAGCTGGGCATCTGGAAATTACTGGTTCTGGAACAGTTCTCTTGTCGGTTGGAACAGAGCTTTTATCTTTCCCTCCCGACTTTATTCGTCATGATGATCATCAACATGATTTTAAGTTTAAAAATACACAAGTAATAGGTACATTCATTTTTAAAAATACACTACTTAGATGTTTTTCTAAAAAACCCGAACTAGGGAAGTTATCCCTGATTTCCTCCGACTGAACCTAGGAAGAACATTGAGATGATTTGGCGATTTTTCGGGATTTTCGAATTTCCTTGAAAGTACTCGGAATTTGTTGAATATCAATTTGACATTCTGAGGATCACTAAAATCCCAATTCATCCAATCTCTGATCTCTTTTCAATTCCAAAATGCTCATGCTGATATTATTTATATGGGACTGGCAATAATGTACAAAGAAAATGTAAATCAAGCATTCAATTTTTTTTACACCCATCGATCTTGTAATGATGATGTTGCTGGATTCCATTCCCAGAAATTTGAACTTTTTGCCAAATTTACATGTGAAAATGATTGGAAACCGTGTCAATTTTGGCACCTGATTGCTTCATCTCAAAACAAACCCGATTTGCGAAATTATTGTGATTGTTTCGAGAGTTTTTATGCGACCATTATAATTCACGTAATATAGTACTGATTATTGAGAGTAATTTCTTGTCTGCTTACATTGGGGTTTTCACGTTCTATAAAAACTCATAAGCTTTTCCGGAAAAATATATTTTGAAGCAATCACGAGGGCTCTCCGGTAATACACTGGAAAATTGAATCCACAAAATTATGTAAACAGCAGCCGCTGCTGCACCGTTTACCATCGACGGAATTACGAATTCGGTCACAAATAATGTATTGGGAACTGAATAAATATTAGCGGCCGCATCCGATGTATATTCGAGTTTTGAATTACTAGGAACTTCCCTTACTGCGTACGTGAATGTAATTTGGCTGAATTTGATTGGCTGGTTGGTAGACATAGATTATTTTCGCCTGTATTTGTGTTCAAATTATGTTTCAATAATAATTCTCACACGAACCTACCTACAATCTTTCTGTAACCTTACATTGTTAAAAATTTATAAAGTGCAAAAGATAATAACTATTACCTTCATTACAATTATGTTGATTCGCTCACAGTGTTTAATAATTAATAACACATGCAACAATCTCTATCTACTTTTAATAAGATGAGCAGTTATAAAATAGACTAATGATGAAAGCACTCAGGTGAAATATAAGATTTTCGAAAGTTTCAATTATTTGTAAAGGTAACTTACTTTTTACCAGAAGCCTTGAGGGATTGCGTAGTTTAACGCCGGCAGCTTCTACCATACTTTGCTACTATTTTGCGAAACATGAATCATGAGTTATGTTCAAGTCCACTATATAAATCTGGCTTTATCAACTGTATTTTCTGCTAAGCTAGTACTTTATATTTTCTTCATACAGCTTTCGCACCTTCAGTGCCCTTCAGATAGATCTTCGCATTTGCTCAAAAACTTGTATTTTTGAACATTAAAATTAGAATTTAGTCTTAATGAAAATATTATTCAAAAATTAATTTGAATTTTTTGATTCATCACTGATTTTAGGCTTTTTAACTAATAAGAGAAATTAGGCAATTGAGATTGCAGGCCTGAGAGCCCGGAGCGTGCAAATTTTATTCTAGGCGAAAACAAACTTGAAGAGCAGGGGTGGGTTATATCAGGTCGCCAATTCATATTTTTATGTTCGATTGACCAATAAAGTGCTATTTATAGAACAGTTTTGCGTCAATAAAGTAGCACTTTATTTTACTGTAAAATAAGGTGCTACGTTATTGCCTACTTGAACTACCTGAAAACCTGCCAAGGAACAGGTATACTCGAATTTTAATTTTTTCATTCAATTTTTTTAATTTTTAATAAAAAACAGTCGCAATCATACATAAAATCATGTATATACCGCCTACATAAACAGGGTTCATTGACTCATTATTTAATAGCCTCACTCGTAAGCTCGCTCGGCCATAAAATTATTCGTACAATAAAGCCTTACTTTATGTACTTGTTATATAAATAGCTATTTGATGATTTTTTGGAAATAGTTTCAATATACACTTAAGTGCATAGAAATCGGCCCACTGCTAACTTTTGACTTCAACTATTTTTTTTTTTTTTAGAAACTTTTCATGAGATTAAAAAAAATATATGCAATTTGAAAAACAATTTAATATCATCTAATTTTGTATTATAATAATAATCTTATGAATAGTTTCTAAAAAAAAAAATAGGTGAAGTCAAAAGTTAACAGTGGGCCGATTTCTATGCACTTAAGTTCATTTATTCGGTCCTAAATGCGTGTAATCTAAGTTTGCACCATCCCAAGGGGTGAGCATAACTTTTCGTTTCCAAGATACCGCCAAATGTTTGCACTTTTTCAGTTTTTTTGCTTGTAGCTGAAAAACGATGCGTCGAACGGAAAATGTAATTTTATTCAATATTGAGAAGGTCTGAATTTTGCGTCGAATGACATTCAAAACTTTTAACTCGGTTTAGAGCTATAGCCAAAATCAATAGTTGGAAATGATTTTTCCGTATCTTCTCCGCATATTTTTCTTCCAAATTATGGTTTCCTGGATCGGAGATGTCAATAAGGTAATTGTTTTTGCCGACTTGTCTACCAGAACGATGTCAGGTCTATTGGGTGGTATCGTATGGTCAGTTAGGATAGTTTTGTACCACAAAATTTTCCTGTCTTCGTTTTCTTCAACTTTGATTGGGTTGTATTTGAAGTATGGAGTTTTTCTCTTTTTTCAGGTTCCGCATAGAGAGGAGTTCCTAGTGAACAATTCTAGCTGCCATATTGTGCCTGTCGGTATAGGATGTAGGGGCCAATGACGTGCAAGCGCTTAGAATGTGGTCGATAGTATCTGATGCTGTATTACAGATACGACACCTATTGGTAGGTTTTCTTCAATAATATATTTAGCATAGTTCTTAGTTTTTACCACTTGCTCCTGAATAGCTACTAAAAATTCTTCTGATTCGAGATGTAAGTACCCTTCGATGGCCCAATGTAACGACTCTCTATGGTCAACATTTTCTTGGTGAAGTTGATTATAGTACCATCCATGTAGTACTTTTTGTGTCCATTTATGTTGTTTTTGTTCATCGGTTATGGATGTTGGTGCATAGTTTTGGTCCTGTAAATTGAGGGGCGTAAAGTTTTGGTCTGCATCTGGAATTATGCTATGCAAGGTGCTTTGAGATTTTTTTTGGAAGAAATCTCGGATGGTTTGTATTTGTTTCATCAATTGCTTTTCTGTATCTATTATTTTCCGCTCACCTTGTTCTCGTGGTAGCATAATCCTTTCTTCACAGGCCTTCGGGTGGTGCATGTGAGAAGAAGTCAGTGTAGTTCGAATTTTTCTGTCTAGGTCTTCCAACGCTGTATTAGACCATTTAATAATACTAGGTTAGCACTAGGATAGCGAACGTTGGTTAAATTTATGTGGTTGTGTTTGAATCGGTTTTAGTTGTGGCTCCGATTGTGAAAGATATAATGGTGTGAATTCTTTGTCTGCCTATATGACTGTTTTGTTTATTGATGTTTTTTTATTGTTGAAGTATGTTCTTAGTGTTTGCATTTGTGTGTGTGTGAAAAATTTTGTATTTGATCTGTTCGTGGGCATATACAGTTATTTATGGCTTTGATTAGTTAGTTCATCTGTTGTTATTTTATATTCTGTCTGTTCGTTTGTCTCCTTTTGTCAGCGTTGCTTCTCTTGAATCAATGTTGCTCTCTGGTAATGCTCCACGGGATTTGACCATTTTTCTCTTCAATATTCTATTATTTCTTTTTTACTTGCTGGAAGTAAATAGTTTTTCATTGCGATCGAGTATTGCGGTGTCGGGTTTTCTTCTGTTAGATTCCTTGTAGCTGCTTGATCGAGCTGAGTACACAATTAGTTTTTTTTAATTGTGCTCAGCTTTTCTATTGTTGGCGGTTCTTTCTCTTTTGTCATATTTTTAATATGTTTGTTTATTTTCCTTTATTTATTTTTATTTATATACTGTGTTACTCTTTCTATGTCTGCTCTATGTCTTGCTTTATTTTCTTAATCCGCCTTTGCGACCTGGGAATGTTTCTTGTATTTGGTTTCGGGTTGCCTTGTTCTATGGTTTTTTGCTTGCTACATGTAAATATTGCTGATGCATATATCACTGTGTAAATATCTTCCCGTGTGCTTGCGTCGTCTATATATTTCGAGGTTATCTCTCCGTTTATTATGTGTTTCTGAGGACTGTAGAGTCTGTAGCGCAAGTTAAGGTGTTTTGAATTAGTTTCTGACGGAACAGTAAAACCTCAACTTTTTGAGCATTTATCCTCAAATTATGTCCCACCGAATTAAAAAACATTTAAACATTAAGAGACCAGATGCCGTTTCCGGGTCTGCGGGGTTGAAGTACCTAATGGAGAAGGTGGCGTATCATCTGCACACGCCTGTACATGAGAATCAGATGCGGCTTCAAATACATCAAAGTATACAGGACAAATAGAAGAGGCCCTACGATGGACCCCTGTGGAACACCTGATACAATTTTCCCAGCAAGTGACAGCTTCCCACTAACACGCATTCTTTGTTGTCTGCCATTCGAGTAGCTCTTACAAAATTTGCATGATAAATCAAAATCTAAAAAGTGCAACTTAGTGCCACATCAATGGTCCAATACATAACTGTTTCATATTAATTTATCACCAACACACTATAGACTACAATCTTAATACTTAATTATAAATAGTGAACAATTTAGGCATAGAAGCAAAGTAAATTTTGCTTGTTAATGCTGATGATCATTTTGACATAATAAAAGTAACTGATGGCTTTTATCTAACCTTACACGACAAATCTCGTATTAAAAAGTCAACTGCAACAAAACACTCGTATCTGAACTGACTTCAAACTGGCTTGTAGACATCGTATTCCGGATTTGTCTGGTGGTTTTGTTTTCTCGAACACAATAACATTCCTAGACTAGACGCGTTCTAGTTGCAGCAAGATAACTGGATTCTTAGAATTAGCCGGGCTCTCGACGCAATTTCTAAACGTATACCCCTACCTGTGCCTCAGATCTCAAAAAAGTGAATGAAGAAGATAAGTAGAAAAAACTCCCTCTTGTTTTTTGATGTGTGCTCGTCTTTTAGTAATAAGGCCTCATTATGATTATTAATATTATGTCGAAACCAGTGAAGTCACTATTCTTTTATCACTCACGGTTCCCAAATTCTATGAGTTCCTGGAATTTAAAAAAAAAAAAAATCTTTGTGAGCTTGTTTTTCGATGTCGAAACCAGTAAGTGTCTATTATTGTATCACTTACGGTTTTCAAATGGAGAAAATTTTGGCATTTTTCAGAAAATCTTTTGTGAACTCACTATTTCAGTTCAAAAAAAAAGTTCGCCGATTGTTCCCACTAATTTGATCAAGTTAATCTCTCTTAGGTATCTCAATTCTGACACCAAGTTGTCACGGTTTCCGGGTTCACTAAAACTGACTTCACGAGAAGTCTCAAATTTTATTGAAAAAAAATGTCATCATAAAAGTAACTGAGTTTTTGAAGCGAGTTTTAGTGAACCTAGAATCCGTGACAATATGTATATAAATATAGGCTGCATTTTCTAGTGCTAGTCGATTCCTATGACGTTTATTTACCATCAGAGTTTTTTGTCGCCAAATTTTTCCAAGTAGTAACGTTTATAGGCACTGTTTTTGTATGGGCTGTTTCTAAAAATATTTTCTCTGGTCGTCTCATGCTTTCCGAAGAATCTAGAACAGTCTGCCTCAATTAAATCTCTCGTATATTTCGTATTCTATACCATTTCCAGGATTATTTCACATTTATGAAATTTGATTTCAAATTAATGAAAACTAAATTCACATCAGTGAAATCTAATTTCGTTCAAATGTAAATTGATTTCAAAGTAACGAAAACTAATTTTTCACAAACGAAATTTGATTTCACATTTTTGAAAATGAATTTCAAACTGACCCGAATTAATACTCATTTCTCAAACATTTATTAGTTCAATTTGAAAAAACATCAACAAATGTTATTTATTTCACCCTAATGAAATAAACCCACACAACATAAAATACAATCATGAAACAAGCATAATAATTATAAATTATTTAAATAAATTGAACTTCAGTTGAGTCTTCTCACTCTTGAGATAGCTGCATACCTTTCCACATGATTTTCCAAGCTGAAGTTTAATTTATTTAAATAATTCATAATTATTATGGTTGTTTCATGATTGTATTTTATGTTATCTAAACGTAGTGGGTTTATTTCATTAGGTTGAAATAAATAACGTTGTTGATGTTTTTTCAAATTGAAATAATAAATGTTTGAAAACTGAGTATTAATTAGGGTCAGTTTGAAATTCATTTTCAAAAATGTGAAATCAAATTTCGTTTGTGAGAAATTAGTTTTCGTTACTTTGAAATCAACTTTCATTTGAGCGAAATTAGATTTCACTGATGTGAATTTAGTTTTCATTAATTTGAAATCAAATTTCACTAGTGTGAAATAATGCTGGAAATGGTATAGAATACCTTTGACGGCTTGCCTTCCATGTAACGAAACCGCTTTTCCCCAGTTTATCTGATTATAATTACACGAACCTGTTGAAAAAAATCATCAAGACCCAACAATTTTTCATTAAATTTTTCTCTATTCCTGGATTATTTTTAACCAAAATTATTCAGTTGCCCACGAAACTCTTATTATATTAATCACATTTTTATTGCAGGATATAATATGGCAATGCATTATATGATTATGCTATAAAGTTCTTTTGCAAAGATTGCATTATATAATGTTGTAGAAAACATGCATCAAAGAAGGGAGCTGCAGAATTTCTGAAGGAACATAAAGAAAATTTCGTTGTTTACTGTGGCGAGCGGCGAAAAATTCTTCCTCCGGTTTTATAACAAAAAAATTAATAATGTATCACTTTAAAGGGCCCAGAGTCTAATATAATAGCAATTCTGTAGATTTATATTTATACAAGAATTGTCTGGCTCTGACGCCGAGAAAAACTTATTACGAGTGGAGCATACATATAGCTACCCGTGGGCCGAATTAAAGTTCCACACTTTTTCATGGCTTTATGTATTGCACGGAATAAGTTTATTTTTGGAGAGTTAGTAGGCAGCCATGTTCTTTTTTGATCCAAAGGTTTCAGACAGAACATCACTAACATCAATTTTTCTCAAAATGCTGCATTTACCATCGTTTCAAATAAAATCTGTTTTACTCAAATTTGAGCTGATACGATAGCTAAACTGTTACGTTAAAATTTTGCCTTAACGTAATTGAGATTTCGAATAAATTCAGTAATTAATTCAGTTATTTGTGAGAATATTTATAAAGCTGTATACCTGAGGTTTAATATTTTTCAGTGATTGATAGGTTGCTCATTGAATTTTGCTAGATTTTTGCCTTTTGGTTGGATGCAAAACAATATCTGGTTGTTGATTAAAGGTATATTTTTCAAGGTAATAATGAGTGAATTCTTTGTATTTAGAGGACAGGGTAGTTTCAGGATAATAAAGCCCTACTGGTAGGATAGGAATTATAGAGGGTGTAGAGCTGTGTGCACGTTGAGGAGTAATGAAGAATGAAAAAGTTTTGTATTTCGTGCAAAATTCTTTAATAAATATCAGTGCAAAGCGCTTTCGGCCGTGGCCATCATCAGTGCAACCTGAAAGTAAGGAAAAACACTTTCTGAAGATACTGGAAAATTTTATGAAAGTTTGGAAATTTTGGAAATTTGAAAATTTTTTTAAAAAATTTTTGAAAATTATCTGAAATCTTAGAAATTTTATCTATATCAATTTAAATTATTCAAAAGGAAGAAATTAATTACTAAAGAAAGTAGATTTACTCACTTCGTCAGGTTTGTACAAAGAGTCTTCTCGTTGAACATATAGGTGTAAAGGAACGAAACATCACATTACAAATTAAAATTAACACATTAAAATATCGGAAGATCTTTGGTTTTTCGCTGGTGCACTATGCAAAGGCTGTGTCCTCTCAAATTACAATCACATCGAAAGATGTTTTTTAAATTTAAATTAATATTTCTTTAAATTTGTGGAAGACCAACAGGTGATGAATGATGTGCAGCCATTTTGTGTATGGTTGCACGTTTTTGATTGTGGTTTCCCTTTAGAGTGACACATGACAAGTAAGTCAGTGTAGCTGACAAGAGCGGGAAGTTCGAAAACTAAAAGTTTATAAAATCCAAAACCATTACCAACGTTTTTAAAAAACAATATTTGGAGATTTAAGATGTTTATAGTGTAAAAAACCTGTAGTGTAGATGACGAGCT